ATGTAGGCATAATAGGTAATGAAATAGCTAATCGGGAAGCTAAGGAAGCCTGCTATATGAATAAACAAGATAAAGAGCTCCCAGAAATCCCTCTTTCCGACATTAAAAACACCATCAAAGAATTTTCAATGAGAAGATGGCTCGAGAGATGAAAAAAACTTGACGACAACAAACTAAAACGCATCAACCCAAATTTGTCACCAAAAGGGATAATGCCACAAAAACGACGAGATCAAGTCATAAAACATCGCTTAAGAATAGGACATACCAGGTTAACCCACCAGTATCTAATGAAGAAAGAACAACAAAAACTGTGCTATGTTTGTGATATTCCTCTGACAATCGAACACATTATTGTTAGTTGTCCAGTCTATCACCTGGAACGACTTCAAAGTGATTTACCAAGTGATCTGAAATGTGCTCTGAACTATAGTAACTATGATAAAGTGTCTAAGTTTCTAAAACTAACTAAATTGTACAATCTAATATAAAAAATAGACTTAAGTTATCAATTGTAAATGGTAGTTATAAGCAAACATCTAATTTCATGTACAACTCTTTCCCGCCAATAACCTTTCATGGTTGACGCGGTTTACTTAATAAAAAAAACATCTTGAAGTTTATTTGTTGTATTATTTCTCTCTATATATCCCTTTTGAGCCAAAATTAGTTCTATGGGGTAAAGTTTACATTAATAAGGTGGTATCAGCAACACTTTAACTCCATGTTCTTTTGCTATATAATCTACACTATACTTTTTAAATTTTCGTGAATATTGTTTGCATAGCTGTAATAATTCTTTTTTTTGAGTGCCTTCTTCTGGCACTACCAATTCTTTGGTTGTTAGCCAATCCAAGAGTTCTTGCCTTCTAAATTAAGTGTTAGGTAACGGTTCCTTTAATCTTGAATGGAAACTGGCATCGTCCATGACTGTTACAAAATTGGTAGGTAATAAATCCAGCCTTTGACTGAAATGTCCTTCATTTATCCATGTTTCATCTAAATAAATAAAATGTTTGCCTTCTCTACTCAGTTTTTGGATGTCCCTTTCCCGTAAACCAGTTTTCTGTCTGTTGGCCTTTAAGGTGTTTCTATAATACTTTCAATCTTTCGTTGCTTTATAAGTCTATAAATAGTTGCTTCTTTAACTCAGTTTATATCTGAACACTTAGAATCTATACCCCGAATAGTATTTATAAAATATTCAAGTACAAGATCATTATGTACGTTTAACACTACAGCTTTCATTGGCACGGTTAAATGAAACTTTAATTTTACAGGAGTAAAATTAGATGTTTGTGACATTTTTACTACACAAGTTCATTTAATATTATCGCTTTTTATTATAGATCTAATAATTCTGCGTGTTTTAATCACAGGATTTTATAAACACAACCTGATAGTCTTAACTAAAAAGATTCACAATCTGTAAAACCCATTCTGCTGCTTGGAAATTTTAATCCTTTTTAAAAAGTTGAGGCTTAATAAACTGACCCTCTACTTTATGAAAATTGTAAATATTTTGTACCTGTACAGAATACGTAGGTATATTATTTGTTGATTAAAATGACTATAACATTTAAGACGAGAATTAAAATAAATCGGTATTTTTTTAAATTTTAGGTAAAACCCAAAAATTTTCAGAACAATGCTGAATATTTTATTTTAGAAAAATTCAGTCATGTTTTATGTTATATTACGTTTTACCTCACGTGCAATTAAATTTGTGCTATCAATAACTTTCAAACGTAATATAGGAGGAGGCATCTCGTCGATATGATTTGGATTTAATTGTTGACTTGGTATATCTAGACAGGGAAGTTTACTTCCAGATTTTCTTGTCTATTCAGAAAATATTCAAAATATCTTCAATCTGTTTCTGTATCATTTTCATTTATTTATCATACTTTTTTCAGTTTGGTATCTCATAAATGGAGGTTTAATACAATATCATTATTTTCTTTTATTTTTTGCCCCCTGACACAGATTTCTTATATGTTTATTTTCGTAATTTTCCTTATATGTATTTTGTAAGTTGAGGCTTAATAAACTTACCCTCTCCTTTTTGAAAATTGTAAATATTTTGTACCTGTACAGAATACGTACTTATATTATTTGTTCATTAAAATGACTATAACATTTAAGACAAGAATTAAAATAAATCGGTATTTTTTTAAATTTTAGGTAAAACCCAAAATTTTTCAGAACAATGCTGAATATTTTATTTTAGAAAAATTCACTCATGTTTTATGTTATATTGCGTGTTACCTCACGTGCAATTAAATTTGTGCTATCAATAATTTTCAAGTGTACTATAGGAGGAGGCATCCCGTCGATATGATTTGAATTTAATTGTTGACTTCGTATATCTGGACAGGGAAGTTTACTTCCAGATTTTCTTGTCTATCAGAATTGTTCAAAATATCTTCAATCTGTTTGTGTATCATTTTCATTTATTCATCGGCCTTTTTTTCAGTTTGGTCTCTCATAAATAGAGGTTTAACACAATATCATTATTTTCTTTTATTTTTGCCTCCTGATACAGATTTCTTATATGTTTATTTTTGTAATTTTTTACAATTTTTTGCAACAATTTTTCATTTTATCTTCTTTTTTTTAATATTTTTTATTTCCTTTTCTTTGATCAGGCTACTTACTTTCAACAATTTTTGATCAAAATTTCAGCATTCTTAGTCTTAATTTACTTCGCTCTTCTAATTCATTACTATATTTGTCATCGCACCATTTTTTCTTCATTCTTTAAATTTCTTTTTTCCTGTTTTTGGTAATTAAAAGCAAGTAAAACTGCTATTAACAATTAGATTATAGTCTTTGGCGATGTCTATTAGTAAGTGACTATTATTATTGTTTTTTTGGTTCAAAATGTATTTACCTATCGTAAGTATATAGATTTCTTCCCTGCCAATTTTTGCGTTTGCATCCCCTAATACCTCTATCAGATCATATTTAGGCGACTTTGGGGTCATTCAAGTATTACGTAACGTAATTTTTGAAGATTTTTGTCCCCTTATCCTCCCGATGTAAGGCACCGTAACATTTTAAAAGATCCCCTTCACCCACCTAAACGTTATGTAACACCTAAGTCACTACTTTTCTTTAGCAGCTTGTTTTTATTATTTTATTTTAAAAGGTCACTATGTTCTTCTGTTTTGTTTTCTCATCTTTTTCAGTTGTTCTCATTTCTTTTATTTAATTGTTAACATTATTATCCATTTTACTTTTGCTGATATCTCAAATAGTAAAATTGTTTTGACGATGTTTTTTCTCTGTTTCAGCCTAACTCTTGCACCAGGGACGCAAGAGTTGTGATTAGATATAATATCTGCTCCATGGTATGTCGTAACTACACTGATGGAGATACAATTTTTACTGACAAGAATGAAAGAAAAAGATGGTATTTCAAAAACAACTTAATTTCAGTTACTACTTTTTATAGGTTTATTTTTTACCCACTTGCATTAACTTCGTCATCGTTGAGGCACACCCAGAAGATGTTTTATAGTAGTGCACAATACAGAGGAGCTCATTTGGCCTTTTGGCTGCCAGTTACTGTACTGAGGACTATTGTGGGACGTGAAAAAGATCCTATTGGTTGTACATTTCTGCTATTAAAGTCCCATTGTAGCGATGGGCAGAATAAATCGTAGGGCACTTGCTTAAATGCTTTCGGTGGAGGTGACAGATCAACTAACCTCTAAAGAAGTGGTAAAAACTTGCAGAAATTCTTTATCTAACTGACTAGGCACTACGAGCTTACTTGTAATTTGAAGGATTGGGCAGACTGGCTGTAGGAAATCTAGAAAGGCAGATTTCAATGCACTCCTCGAGTGGCAACAGCAGCATTTAAGCATCGGATTTAATTACTTGCAAGAAATATTGCGGTTTGCGGATATGCGTGCTGTACCATGCAAGAGGAGGTTCTGCTGGATTCTGCAAGCTATCTTTCTGCATTGCATTGCACCGAAGCATCGCAGTTGTCAATTTTTGCGTTATTTTTTAACATTTGATGGCATTACAGTATTAATTTAATTTAGCAACACTTACTACAGCATCGTATTTATGTGTCTTACGGACAACGAAAACAAAATAAAAAGGACGTACAACACAATAAAAGAATTGGTACAATATAAGACAATACAATTAATATTGTACAATACAATCGAGATATTCCCCTTAAATTATAAACGAAAAGGATTGTCGACTTGGGAGATTTTAGTTTCACATTTTTTTATTTAAGAAAAACGACAATACTACTTAACGCCATAAAATTCTTCTTTCATTTCTGCACTATCATGTTTACAAATGAAATCTTTTAAAATTTACTTTTTATCTATAGAGTATATAATCTTTCTGATATTTCTTTAAACCCAATATTAATTATTCCTTTAATTTTTTGTTTATTAGTAAGCTTGCTCCCAGCATTCCATTTGTATCCTCACTATTAAAGAAAATATAGTTTTTTATTGTAAGTCCAATTTGCCCTAGCTGTATTAAAATACATAAAATATATGTAATTATTAAATAAATATGTATAAATACTAAAAATAATAAATAACCAACAAATAATTATTAATAAACTAAACAAAAACTACATATAAATAAAATAGGATCACGTAGAGTTCATGTTAAATTTTCTAAAATAATACAGGTGACCAAAATGCCAGAAGAGGTCCAAAAACCTACTTGTAAGATATTTTATAGGGGCACTTTTATTATTATTATTAACCTGTTGACACATATTTTATTTAAAAATAATATAAAATGCACACACAAAACTTTTTATTATCCATTTGTAACTGAAATGTTTTCAAATGTTCATAAGAATATAAGTCTTGAAGATTATATTAAACGATTTTATATTATCTACAATCAAGTAAACATATTACGTCTTTACAATAACCAAAATATGCTGGATTTTCACTAGTGCAAAAATAATATTATCAAAGCATTTGATTACATAATTACAATATGAAATGAGGCGGTAAGCCAACTGACATTGCTACTCATTCGTAGATATGACTTCGTCCAGTGATAAAGTGTTAAATAGTTCCATCAAGATCTATTTTAGGCAAATTTTAGCTGCTGTAACAGGTTGGTAATGCAGAAGTTATTTTTAGTGCACATGTTTATATCTACTGGACCATTAGATGTATCATAATATTCATTGCACATATTTTTTGAACAATTTGTTTTACATTAAAAAAATTTTTTTGTCAGAGCTATACTAAGTTGTAAAGTTAAACTTAAAGTTAACAAAATTTCCATTTTAACAAGTTTATGCTAGACTAAACTTATTTAGATGATCTCCTTACCGCTTATTTTAGTTTAATATTCTTTGGAGATTTAAAAGATTTATTCTCTACATTTTTCTTAATCTTTGAAGAAAAGTATGTTTTATCTCCTTTTTTAATATTAATAAATGTTGTTTTTTTTTGTGTGAAATGTGCTGTAATATCGAATGCGTTTTATGCATTTCTAGTTTGATAGACATTTTCCGACTTTTACAACTTTCTCTAATCATATTTAAATCTTAATCTAATTAATTAAAATCGTGTAAATTAATTTACTTATATTTTAATCTAATTTTTTGTTACTAACTATAATAAGAAACACAGTTGTTTATTTTGAATTGTATGTGAGTTAAAAGGATCGCAATTATTTTATTATTATATTTAATAATTTTAGCAAATTTATGTACTGATATACAAATTAATTTATTTAAAATTTATTCTTCTCGAATATAAATTTGAGTGTCCACATTAAAATAAATAAGATATATTATACATATTTGCAAATGTATACCGGCTTAGTTGCTAATATTTTGAAGATATATTATCACAAAAATATTTGTTTCCAATTTTACTTTTAAAATCAGCTGTATAAGGCTCTATAATTTTCTACGCAGTATTTCGTACAATTCTCGTTGTTTTTGAGAATATATCTAAATATTTTGCAATCTGTTAAAATATTATAATAAACAAAAGTTGCGAAAAATGGCCATATAAGTAACCGTCCATTGGAAATGGAATTTGTGACCACTGATAGGTACATAAATGAGATACTGCACAATTATTTTATACCATATGCACCATTTATTAAAGAAAATTTCTCACTGATGCATGATAATTTACGCCCTCATGCCGACCACATTGTCAGAGAAGACTTAAATGACGTTGACATTACCCATATGGTAAGGTCAGCACACAGTTTCGACTTAAATCCCATCGAGCAAGTTTGGGACAGGTTTAGTAGAAGTATTTGAAGCTGGGTATCTACTCCTCTTACCTTAGGTCAGCTCAAAGTAGCTGTTTTAAAGAAATGTGAAGCGATTTTACATAATAAAGTTTTAAACTTAATTAACGGTATCTCCACAAGAATAAATGTCGTTATATAGGCTCATGGAAGTAAAATGAGGTATGAATTAAATATAGAAGTAATTTGTATTTGTTTCCTTGCTACTTTTATTTTGTTTCTGAAGATAATCGAATAGGTATCGATTTGTTCTACTGCATTTTATGTATTAATTTGTAAGTTTATATAGTTCTCTTTAAATAAAAGGTTTTCATACCAGTTGTCTGTCTGTATTGATAAAATCCTCTTTTAGAGCATTTCAATAGTGGATAAAAGTTACAATACAAAATAAAAGTGTGTTTTGGCAATTTTATCAAAAACTCAAGGAGTGCTAAGATCCCCAAATTTTAAATAAAATTAAAATCACAATACCATTAAAAAAATGGAGAACTCCCTGTATATAGAAATAGTTTAGTTGTAAAATCATAAACCATTTACCGGGAACAACGTGAGTGGTTTCCGAATATGTCAATAAGTGATCTCCGATAAAAAGACAATAAGGGGTGGAAATGACCAGGTAGATTTAGTACACAACTATTCGAAATTTGCGGTTATAATAGAGTAAAAAGTAATAAGTAAGGATTATTGGTTAATGGGTTTTCTCCTTTACAAAAGTTTAAAAAAAGAATTCAAGGTCGTTTGCCGGAAAATACTTTAACGCCAGGTAATTTTTGGAAAAACCAAAAATTTAATGGACTAAGAAACCTATTATGCATTTGATCAGAGGGGAGGTTTGTTTGGATTGGTTTGAGATGGATAAAAAAGAAGGGGGTGAAAAGCTTGACGGGAATGAAATGAGGAAAAAGAAAGACATTGTGAGTTGAACATCGAGAGAGACCAGTTCCGGTGAAAACATTTTTTTGAGAATTTATAAAACGTAGTGCTTAGTGTCTGTACCGTTTACGGCTTCTATACAACATGTAGCGTCTCCTTAAAATTTTAAAGTGTTTGTTTGTCTTTGTGTATTGTATTTTGTATTGTTATGTCCAAATTTTACATTTATGACATTCTCCTCATGTCGGATAGGCCACAACTGACGAAATGCCCCTGAAGATGATCTTGTGATCGAAAGTACTTGGGCAAGATTAAATTAATTATAGTGTTCGATAGTTGCCTAGTATACCCTCAAAGTTTTATAGTTAAGGCAAGAAGCCAAGGAACCAATAATTCTTTCTAAAATTTGAATATTAAGATATATTTGATTTAGAAATATGTGTATTTAATTTTTATTGAGCATTAAGGGATGTGTGATTTGATGGATGATTGATTATTTTTTTTATTGTATTTATAGTGTATGGTGTAAGATTTATCCTCAACGGAATTTTAAATTAATTGGATATATTTTAAAATAAAGGACAATTGTTTCAATAACAGAATTGATTGTCTATTATTTCTTTTTCCTTTTGTTGATCTTTCTTAAATGGAACTAGCAGAAGATATTTGAAGCTGTATATATATATATATATATATATATATATATATATATATATATATATATATATATATATATATATATATATATATATATATATATATATATATATATTTCAAACGTATTCAGCAAGCGAATGCAGGTAAATAAAACAGTCAGCTACTTGATTGGCTACTTTCGCATTTTGAAATGTTGACTTAACTTTTTTTACAGACTTAAGACATAATTAAATGTTAACAGTAAATAAAGTTAAATTCATTATATCTTAAAAAAAATTAAGATAAAAATTATTTACTACTCGCACACTTTTTAAAAGCGGATTATATTTATTTATTCGAAGCAAATACATTGAGATAAATATCTAAGAAATAACCGTAATAAATAACATCTCAACGGATAATTGTGAAGACATTACAAACATAGGTCAAAAATTTAAGCGTTTTAATTACATGGAGGTATTAACCTGCCTTTTTTTTGAAAAAATGTGTTCTTTAAATATCTACGATAATGTTATTTAGACAAGCCGAAAATCTCGGGTTTGTTCCGAAAAATATTCCCATGAGATTTTTTTGATCACTTTCATGAGATACCCCAAAATAAGGTGCAAGAGGTCACCTAGGTGAAAAGTTGTACAAGTTTCTTTAATCAATTTTTTTTAAAATAAAGTGTAACAGTAACTTTTTTGGACCAAACAATTCTTTTTGTAAATTATTTGGACCCTTTGGAACAAAATAGTTGTCTTGTAGTTTTTCTGTTAACTTAATGGTTTTCGAGTTATAAACAATTTTTTTAAGTTTATTATGTCTTAACTACAAGTTTATTGCCACTCTGTCAATTTTGTTACTAAACATTTTACATTGCATTAGGTATAATTTACAATAAAGAGAATATGTGAAAGAGAAAGTAATAAAAAAGAATACACTAAATTTTATAATACAAGTTCGTTTCTCGCAGGAAATCTAGTACATTTTAAAAAAGTTCTATTTGGCTGAGGATAACATGTGTAAGACCATGTATAGAGTATTTTTTTTGTTCTTGCTCGTATTTGACACACTGTGTAAGAATATGTTGAACGGTTAATTATTTACTACACTTTTCACAAATGATTTCTACGAAGTCATCAGGTGTCCATGTGTCAGCCATGTGTGACCAATTCTTAGCCTGCGAATGATTAAATTGTCTCTTCTACTTAAGTTAGGTAGCAGAAAAGTTTCGATGGTAGGTTGTATTTTGTGTAATTTCGAGGTTGAATTCTTTCATTGGTTTTGCCAGGACTTTTAATTTCGGACCTAAATAGTAGTTTTAGATCTGATGCCAGTTGAACCGATTTGATGTCTGACTTGGTTGTAATTTCTTCGTTTGCAGCAGTATCGGCAGTCTCATTATTTAAAATGCCAACGTGTGAAGGAATCCAGATTAATGCTGTTTGTTCCAGAGGAAGTAAGACAGTTTGTTGCTTCATGTATGTCATGAACTAATGAATGTTCGGAATAAATATTTTTAATCGAGTCGATGGAGGAATCTGTACATATTGCAGTGTTCATGGCTTTAGTTTGGTTACATAAGCCTTTTAATGCTTGTAGGATCGCGTACAGCTCTCCTGTATGAATAGAGGTGGATTGTAGAAGGCAGAACTTCTGAATGATACTATTTGAAGTTGTTACAGAATATATCTCAATTTTAGATGCATCTGTGTAGAGAATCTCGTCATATGAGTTTTTGTTGACCAGCTGTAAGAAAAATTGCCTCAGACTGTTGCAGCTGGTTTCATTCTTGCGTTAATTATTAACAAAAGGTTAATTTTTCTTATGTTTTTAATCCATGGAGGAGTTGATGGCAGTATATGAGTATCTGTTATTGAAAAATCAACAGGTCGTGAAAGGAGAAGTAAAATTTGAGGTACTACTACTATCGGTTTACAACGTTCTCCGACGCCTTCCGACTCCTAACCGCCATTCTTCTCTATTCAACAATAGGTCTGAAGGGATTTCTCTTTTCTCTAGTTCTTTTTTAATTCCCTCTCTCCAGCTTCTTCTCGGTCTTCCTCGTTTCCTTCTCCCTTGTGGTGTCCACGTCAAAATCTGTTTTGGAATCCTGTCATCTGGCATTCTCTATACAGGTAATTTAAAATCTCTAATCTCTGTACAGGTAAAATTTGAGGTAATGTAAATTATACGGTTTGTATATATTAGCTTATTAGCCCGTGAGGGGATTTGACAGTTACCTCCATCGGGTGAGGCACCTATGGGAATTAGGGGAAGCTCGCTGGGTCTACAAGCCAGTAGATTCAGAGGGTAGTGAGGAAATA